ACACACACTCACACATTCACACTCATATACACACTCACACACACCCACACTCACACATTCACACTCATATACACACACACTCACACACACACTCACACACTCACACTCATATACACACACACACACTCACACACTCACACAAACACACATTCACACACCCGCACTGGCAGACAGTGGACACCAGGAAACTGTATCCTCTGGAGCCAGAAGTCTCCAGCCCGGTCTCTGAGTCCTCACTTTCTAGCTTGTGTCCTACACAAGGTTGTGAGTGAACTACACAGGGTCACTGAGCCTCACTTCCCTCCTCTGTAAAATGGGAGAATAGGACTCGCTGTGCCACAGGGCTGCTGTGAGGAGAGGGCAGGCGTGTGAGCATCGCACCTGAGTTCTGAGGTCTCTGCAAGGTGGAGCCAGCCCTCTCCCAAGACAAGCCAGGGCGGAGGCACCCTGGAGCGGGCGGGCAGCCTGGAGCCTGGAGCACAGGGAGCACCAGAGCCCCGCCCACCACCCAGGAAACAGAGGCGCCTCCCTCCCCTGCGAGGCCGCCGCACTCTGCTCCCTTCTCCCCAAGCATTTCCACGATCCCCTGGCATCGAGGGGTGGGGTGCCCGTGACCTCATTGAGGCAGCATTTCAGCAGTAGACAAAGGGTCCCCTTCAGCTTGGCGCACGCGGGGACAGAAGTGCCAGGGCCCAGGGAAGCAGCCCCCCACCCCCGCCCCCAACAGCAGCAACAAAGCTGTGACCACACACAGGCAGCCAAGGCGACAGCCCTGCCACCTCATCGTCTTGGATTGTCTGGAAGGGGGTCAGGGCGAAGCCACACTCCAGCACACAGCAGGATGTGTCGTGAGAGCCCAGAGAGAGAAATGCGGGGTGCCCGGGGGTGCTCTCAGTCAGGGACAGAAAGAGGTTATCAGTGGCCTGAGGCATTGTCCATGGACCATTTTCACCGGTGACCAGATAGGGTCAGAGCTGTGCCGACCGAGGGAATCCCGAGGAGGAGAGCACCCGGAGCCAGCACGCCTGGAAAGGCGAGTCTGAGGCTAAATTCACCCTGGGCAAATGGAAGGTCCACACCAACCAACGGCCAGGAAAGGGCAGGAGGGAGCCCGGGCTGAGTGAGGGGTCATCAGTGCTGGGCGCACAGCAGCGAGCCCAGCGTGCGAGCTGCAGCTGCAGCTGCCCCTGCAGCAAGTGAGGGGAAGGCCACACAAACAGCACCTCTGGTGACCTGGGCGAGGAAACAGACTGGGGCAGGTCCCCCATGGCCAAGCACTGCAGCCAGACACACGGCACACGCTGGCACAGGCCACCACACAGGGAGGAGCACGGCCGTGGAACCAAGGGGCTGGGGACCCTAAGGGTGGCTGCATGACCAAAGTTGCAGAGCAGGGTGGGCACCTGTGCTCTGGGAGGGAGGATCAGAAGACCCCTGGGGCTCTTCTTGGAGCTTCTGGGGACCAATCAGGAGGCTCTCTGCTCTCTTCAACTTTCCTAGCCACAGCTTCTTGGCCATGAGGAAAAGAGTTCACCCTGGCTCTAAGTCCACAAGGAGAAGGCTCACTCCACAGCCAAGGAGCCCTCAGCAGGGCAGTGCTGGGGTGTGGAGCACTGGGCCCACTGTCCCCTCTCCTCTTGCCCCTTAGTGTTGATCGGCGTGGGCACTGAGACCTTCCTCCGGGGGCAGTTCAAAAGCCTGGCTTTCTATCTGCTGTGAGTATGTGCACGGGCCCCTCTCTGCCTGCAAGTCTGCTCCAGCTCACTCTCCATCTGTCTACTCCTATAACCTAGAGCAGCTCCCTCCCCACGATTATTCCATCCTATCCCAGAGGTAGAAAGAGTCAAGGGGGCTTGTAGGATAGCTCCTGATTGGGGCAGACCATCCCATACATCAACCATTTGTCCTAAAATCCACCAACCCACCCATTCATCCACCCATCCACTTTCCATCCATCCACTCATCCATTTACCGACCCACTCACCCACTCGCCACCCATCTGTCCATCCATTCATTCATCCATTAACTCAACCACTCACACACTCACTCACTCACCCATCCACCCATCCACCCATCCATCCATTCAGTCATTCATTAACTCAACCACTCATGCACTCACTCACCCACCCACCCATCCATCCATTTATCCATTTAACTCACCCACCCACACACTAACTCACTCACCCACCCATCCACCCAACCATCCATTTATTCATCCATTAACTCAACCACTCACTCAACACACACCCACACTCACACATTCACACTCATATACACACACACTCACACACACACTCACACACTCACACTCATATACACACACACACACTCACACACTCACACAAACACACATTCACACACCCGCACTGGCAGACAGTGGACACCAGGAAACTGTATCCTCTGGAGCCAGAAGTCTCCAGCCCGGTCTCTGAGTCCTCACTTTCTAGCTTGTGTCCTACACAAGGTTGTGAGTGAACTACACAGGGTCACTGAGCCTCACTTCCCTCCTCTGTAAAATGGGAGAATAGGACTCGCTGTGCCACAGGGCTGCTGTGAGGAGAGGGCAGGCGTGTGAGCATCGCACCTGAGTTCTGAGGTCTCTGCAAGGTGGAGCCAGCCCTCTCCCAAGACAAGCCAGGGCGGAGGCACCCTGGAGCGGGCGGGCAGCCTGGAGCCTGGAGCACAGGGAGCACCAGAGCCCCGCCCACCACCCAGGAAACAGAGGCGCCTCCCTCCCCTGCGAGGCCGCCGCACTCTGCTCCCTTCTCCCCAAGCATTTCCACGATCCCCTGGCATCGAGGGGTGGGGTGCCCGTGACCTCATTGAGGCAGCATTTCAGCAGTAGACAAAGGGTCCCCTTCAGCTTGGCGCACGCGGGGACAGAAGTGCCAGGGCCCAGGGAAGCAGCCCCCCACCCCCGCCCCCAACAGCAGCAACAAAGCTGTGACCACACACAGGCAGCCAAGGCGACAGCCCTGCCACCGTCATCGTCTTGGATTGTCTGGAAGGGGGTCAGGGCGAAGCCACACTCCAGCACACAGCAGGATGTGTCGTGAGAGCCCAGAGAGAGAAATGCGGGGTGCCCGGGGGTGCTCTCAGTCAGGGACAGAAAGAGGTTATCAGTGGCCTGAGGCATTGTCCATGGACCATTTTCACCGGTGACCAGATAGGGTCAGAGCTGTGCCGACCGAGGGAATCCCGAGGAGGAGAGCACCCGGAGCCAGCACGCCTGGAAAGGCGAGTCTGAGGCTAAATTCACCCTGGGCAAATGGAAGGTCCACACCAACCAACGGCCAGGAAAGGGCAGGAGGGAGCCCGGGCTGAGTGAGGGGTCATCAGTGCTGGGCGCACAGCAGCGAGCCCAGCGTGCGAGCTGCAGCTGCAGCTGCCCCTGCAGCAAGTGAGGGGAAGGCCACACAAACAGCACCTCTGGTGACCTGGGCGAGGAAACAGACTGGGGCAGGTCCCCCATGGCCAAGCACTGCAGCCAGACACACGGCACACGCTGGCACAGGCCACCACACAGGGAGGAGCACGGCCGTGGAACCAAGGGGCTGGGGACCCTAAGGGTGGCTGCATGACCAAAGTTGCAGAGCAGGGTGGGCACCTGTGCTCTGGGAGGGAGGATCAGAAGACCCCTGGGGCTCTTCTTGGAGCTTCTGGGGACCAATCAGGAGGCTCTCTGCTCTCTTCAACTTTCCTAGCCACAGCTTCTTGGCCATGAGGAAAAGAGTTCACCCTGGCTCTAAGTCCACAAGGAGAAGGCTCACTCCACAGCCAAGGAGCCCTCAGCAGGGCAGTGCTGGGGTGTGGAGCACTGGGCCCACTGTCCCCTCTCCTCTTGCCCCTTAGTGTTGATCGGCGTGGGCACTGAGACCTTCCTCCGGGGGCAGTTCAAAAGCCTGGCTTTCTATCTGCTGTGAGTATGTGCACGGGCCCCTCTCTGCCTGCAAGTCTGCTCCAACTCACTCTCCATCTGTCTACTCCTCTAACCTAGAGCAGCTCCCTCCCCACGATTATTCCATCCTATCCCAGAGGTAGAAAGAGTCAAGGGGGCTTGTAGGATAGCTCCTGATTGGGGCAGACCATCCCATAAACCAACCATTTGTCCTAAAATCCACCAACCCACCCATTCATCCACCCATCCACTTTCCATCCATCCACTCATCCATTTACCGACCCACTCACCCACTCGCCACCCATCTGTCCATCCATTCATTCATCCATTAACTCAACCACTCACACACTCACTCACTCACGCACTCACCCATCCACCCATCCACCCATCCACCCATCCATCCATTCAGTCATTCATTAACTCAACCACTCATGCACTCACTCACCCACCCACCCATCCATCCATTTATCCATTTAACTCACCCACCCACACACTAACTCACTCACCCACCCATCCACCCAACCATCCATTTATTCATCCATTAACTCAACCACTCACTCACTCACTCACTCACCCACCCATCCACCCATCCATACATTCATTCATCCATTAACTCAACCACTCACTCACTCACCCACCCATCCACCCATCCATCCATTCATTCACCCATTAACTCAACCACTCACTCACTCACTCACCCACACATCCACCCATCCATCCATTCATTCATCCATTAACTCAACCACTCACTCACTCACTCACTCACTCACCCACACATCCACCCATCCATCCATTCATTCATCCATTAACTCAACCATTCATGCACTCACTCACTCACCCACTCATCCATCCATTCATTCATTTATCCACTAACTCAACCACTCACACACTGACTCACTCACCCACCCTCCACCCACCCAACCATACATCCATGCATCACAATCATTTCTTTATTCAGCAAACATTAACTGAGCTCTTGTTTTAGAAAGAGGGGCATCAGGTCAAGAGAATACATAGTTGAGCTTCTCTACATGCCAAGAACAGTTAAATGTCATATTTACATTATGTTATTTAACTCACATCACCATAGGAAAGTGCATACTGGCCTGGTTTTGCAGGTGAGAAAGTCTAGAGGAAGGAAACTTTCCCACATCACGGAGCTCAGGAGCAGCAAAGCCCAGCTTCACAGCCAGGCTCCTTCCATTCTCCAGATGAGGTCCTTTCTTCTCCACCCGTAGCTGCCTGTGCAAATACCCCTGGAGGGAAGGAGACCACTGGTGTCCCAGGGGATGAGGAAAGACCCAGGGTCTCTGCGGCCCCACCATGAGGGGCTACCAGTGGTTTCTTCCTGATTATGCAGGAAGCCACGTTTTCCAGCCCCCCGGGTGCTGAAGCGGTTACTTAGCAGAGAAGTGGTGGGGGATGATGGCAATGATTGGCCCAGGTCTGTCTGCAGTTGCCAGGCTCTGCCCTCCTTTGCCCTCCCTCCACAGGCTCCACCACACCTTCCTCCGGTGGCCCAGTCTACTCACCCTCCCTCCCCTGCCTGTCTGGGCAGGTTCTTTACTGTGCTTGGTGGCTCCCAGCCACCGCCCCCTCTGAGACTATTTCCACACTGCCACCTAGACACAAGGAGCTGTCCAACAACTTCCAATGGCTCCGTCTCCCCCCTCTAGTCCACACTGTGCCATTTCTGACCCCTGCCTAACTTCTCACCCATTTATGCCTGGGGGCTTCTCACTCTTTCACAGACTCACCGAATTGCCGCATTCCACTGTACACTGAGTACCTTCCACCCATTTCGGCATTCCCAAAGCCATGCGTTCCTTCCTAGCACTCCACCCTGGGAACTGAAGTGATTGCTCCTTGCTCTGAGCACCCTCCCTGTCTTACTGACTCTGTCCCCGGCTGGCAGCTGTGCCCTACCTCCCTGGGACCCAGAGGCAGGCGGGCCTTCGTCCTCTCCAGTGGGGCCCTTACTCACAGGGCGGGGCCGTGGCAGGGGGACGCAGATTGCTTTGCCCATCTGGGCACTGGGTGGCCCAGTCCAGCCTCAAGTCCCTGCCCCTCACTGTGAACTAGTTTATGTTTCCCACTCATGCCCTTCTCTCTAACCCTGGCAGGATTGGCACCCATGGCCCCCCAATCCGTCCCTGCCAGCCACTCATGAGCACCAAGCAGGAAGTCTGAATGAGTCATTTTATTCCCCAAACCTCAATTTTCTCCTCTGTCCCAGGGCGTAGGAAAAGGCAATGCTGAGTGTTTTACAAAGTGCCATGGTGTGCCTCTTAGACACACAGGCTCTGGAGCCTGAATGCTGGGTTCTAATCTTGCCCTACTACTAATCAGCTGTGTGACCACAGGCAAGTGACTTAAGCTCTCTGAGCCTCAGTTTTCTCATCTGTAAACTGAGGGTAATTATAGTGCTTCTCATAAAATTTTTGCAAGGACTAAATGAGTTGCTACTTGTAAAGCCTTTAGAACTATGCTTGGCCCAAAGGAATCATTATATAAATGTTAGTTATTATTATTTTAAAACTGAGCAGTAAGAGTTAGGCACAAGCTGGGAGACACAGAGAGAGTAAGAGAAAGCTGACATTAAGTACTAAATGGTCACAAAGGGGAGAGAGATGATAACTAGCATTTATATAATCACTATGTGCCAAGCGTGGTCCTAAGTGTTTTACAAATATCAACTCAAGTCTTGTAACAATTTTATTGTTGAAGCACTATAACAGCCTCAGTTTACAGACGAGGCAACTAAGGCATGGCATGGCCAAGCTCTGCACCCGTGTTCACACAGCTGGTCAGTAAATGGCAACACCTGGGGCTCTGGGGCCACCTGGCACGGAGCCGCCTCGCCCTAGACGGCAGCAGGCACTCTCGTGCATTCCTGGCCAAGCACATTATGGAGCACGGAACCCAGCCAGGCCCGCGCTGCAGAGGGAGTGCACAGACTGGCGGCTCTGGCCATACCGTACCTCACAGGAAGCAAGAGGTCACCAGACAGACTTGTGAGAGAAAAGGGAGGCCTTCCAAAAATGAGTAAGGGTCTACTTCGTGGTTCAGACCCTGTGCAAAGGCCCTGTGGTGCCTAATAACTTCCTGTGTAGTCAGGGAAATATGGAATTTTATGACGGGATTTAAAAGGTGTGCTGAGAAATTTCATGAGCCAGTGAGACTCTCCAAAAACACATATATGAGGCCCATTCCCAAAGATTCTGATGTACAAAGTCTACGGGTGGCCCAGAAATCTGGTTCACGTATTCCCCAGCAGATTCTGGTTGGACAGTTCCTGGACCCTACTGGGAGCAGGAGGAGCCTTTGAGGCACTCTGGGTCAGGAGGAACACGGCCAGATCCGGGTGTGCTAGGGCAGCCAGGCATGCCAGACTGGAAGAGCAGGGGGCAGAGCGGGGTCAGCGAGACCCAGGGGAACTGGGGCCCCATCCGGGGGCAGGGCCCAAACCCAGGCAACGCCGGTGAGGCCAGAGAGGATGGGTGTGGTTCCAAAGGCATTGAAGGGGCACCGTCAGCAGTCCTGGAGACTGGACGATGGAAAAAGAGGGAGAAGGAAGAGCAAGGAACAGGTCCCTATTTAAGGCTGGAACCCCAGGCAGTGGGTGTCAGTCCCGAGGCCAGTAGGCAGAAGGACGCACCTGCCAGTGTCCACACAGGGTGCCCGGGTGAGGCCCATCCCGCTGCTGCCCACGGCTTCCTCCTCGCCTATCTCTGAGCCCCTGCCCTCACCGCTCTACCACGTGGCCCAGCCCAGGACAGGCCCCGCATCCAGACAGCCCCTGGCAAATGTGGTCTGGGTGACACAATCAGGCCCGTCTGCCGGCCGTAGACCCCAGGAGGCCAAGGTGCTGCGAGAAGACAGCCCAGGAGAGAGTGAACGGAGCATCGGGAATGCAGCCTTGCTCACCTGTCTCTGTCTATAGCTTTACAGGAGCCGCCGTCTCCGTGTGCGAAGGGGCCTACTTTGTGGCTCAGCTGCTGGCCATCTGCTTCCAGTAAGTAGCCTCCGGAGAGGCCCTCCACCAGCGCCGCCCCAGCCCAGACACCCCAGACGCTCTGCCCAAGAGGCCGAGACCGGGACGTGTCCTGCTCCTGAAGCTACCAGGGACAGGTCCCCTCCATGGTACAGCCAGCCCCAGCCCAGGGGTGGGCCCAGGCCCGCGGAGCTCAGTCACCTTCTTTGCCCTGTTCCCGACCAAGGGAACCAGCTGAGCCTTCACTCACGGCCTGCTCCTGCCCAGAATCCCCCAGGAAAGTCCAGCTCCCCCTCTCCCCAAAGCAGCCGGTGTCTGGGCCCCGGTGCCCACGCTGCCCACCATAGGGTGAGGACCTGCACAAGGCCCAGCTTGGTGTGAGCAGAGCAGGGTTCGAGAACTGGCTCTGCCTCTCGCTAGGACTCAGGGGCAAGTCAGGGGCTGCAAGCCCCCATACCCACTTGTGGGGGCAAGAGTGCAGACTTGGCAGGACCCCTGAGGCCACATGGCCACGGAGGCCCCGCTGCTGCCCAGCCGACACTCAGTATGTCGATACTGTCGTGTGGGACCGAGGGCTGGGGCCACAAACCACTACTTTCAAAAGAGGAGAATACCTGCCTTTAGAGCCATCGTCTTCACCTCTGACTTGGCCTAGAGCAGAGGCCCTGTGCAGGCTAGCTTTAGGAGACAGCGGGCCTGAACTCTCAGAACCCAGAGCCTAGATGGCCGAGTGGGACCCCAGAGAGACCCAGGCCTTGAATCCAGCTGTTCTGGCACCTGGCAAGGCCACTGGCTGCCTCCCAGGCTCACCAGCCCCAAGACAGTAGCCTTCCCCTTCTCTGCTGAATGTCACTGCCAGGGGGGCCTTGAAACTTCCATGGAGTGGGGGCCTAGGGCAGGGGAGGGAGGAGCCCTGGATGTGAAGGGGCATTTTACTTCCTCAGGACTCCAGCGCGCGCACACACGCGTGACCACCAGGGGGCGCGAGCGAGCCGTGGCAGCCTAGGCCCCTGCGGGTGGCGCGGGAGGGCGGTGCTGAGGGCGGTGCTCCAGCGCAGCGAGCCTGCCCACGCCTCCGCTCCAGGCCAAGTCAGGGTGAACAGGAAAGCGATGGATCTAAAGGCAGGCACTTTCCTCTTTTGAAACCTGGAGGCAGCGCCTCTGAAGAAACCTGCTCAACATCAGGCCTCTGCCAGGGCCACGCGCCGTCCCTGCGAGCAGTTAGGGGGCGCTGTCCCAGGGCGCAGCTGGATTCCAGCCTGCTCGCCCGCCTGGCCAGGCCCCTCGTGCAATGCACCCCCTGCACCACGTCCCCGTGCAATGCACCCCCTGCACCACGTCCCCGTGCAATGCACCACCTGCACCGCGTCCCCGCTGGGCGGCTCCCACACCGCACCCCTTCCCTGCCTCACTGTGGACTTCCCATGAGCCTCGGGCCTCCCACTCTCCTCACTGGCTCCTGTGGCATCTGAGAGCATTTACCTTCCTCCCCTGCTAACCAGAAAGGCAGGGCTGCGCAGTCTTTCAGAAAAACTGTGTCCCCTCTGAGGGGACTCAGACAAGGCTCCTGACCGTGGAGTCCTCCAGGACTCCAGCCCCTGCGGGGTGCTCGGCCAGGGCCACTGCGGAGAGCATGCCATGGCAGGGAGCAGGGCCCAGCCCCGGGTCCCCAGCCTCCCACGGTGCTGGTGCTCTCTTGGGCTGTGTCCTGCTAACCCTGGATGCTCACCCGGCAGGTGTCAGCCAGGGTCCCTGGCCGACAGAGCAAGGGAGAAGGCCCACTGGCTGGGATGCTTCCAGAAGTTCCTGGCCTACATGCTGCTGTCGGTGGCCTGTTTCCTCCACCCAGTTCTGGTCTGGCACGTGACCATCCCAGGTAGGACCATGGGGAGGGTAGGGACAGGGTAGTTAGGCATGCGGCCCCCAACAGCTGCGCTCTGAGCGGGAAGGCCTGAGTCCCTCATAGTCCTGCTCCGATGCTAGCCCCAGTGCCCCCACCAGCCCCACTGCCTCTCCGACCTGGAGTGTGAGCACGAGGAACTGCCCGACATCCTCCGTGCTGACCGGCAGCAGGAAGGTCCGGAGAAGGCACCCTTCCCTCACACAGCCACCCAGAGCCTGTGTCCACAAAGGGGACCCGGCCTTTCCTCCCCTGACTGCATGCGATCCAAGCTGTCCGAGGGTACAGGATGGTCCCTTCCCTGCCCAAACCCTTCAGTCTTTTCCCAGTGCCTGCCCATCCGGGTCCAAACTCCTGAGCCAGGTTTGAAGGGCACCTACGGTGGGACCCAAAAGATTTCACAGCCTTGTCTCCTGCTTCCGCCCCACCCGGTGTGCCCTGCTGCTCAGCCCAGTTTCTGGTTGCAGAACCTGGGATTCATATCTCCCACCTCTTTGCTTTGTCCATGACCTTTTCTGCTAGTATCTTCCCGTTCCCTCCTTCCTGTTGCTAAAACCTGTGCCTCTCATCGTGAACCTGTCTAAAACACTGGGGAGCCAACCCTCCAGGGAGCCGCATCCTTCCTGCCGTTTCTCTCAGTGTCCCGTCCTCCTCTCTCCAGGCAGACTCCCGACAATAACTCAGCACTGACCAGGCCAGAGTGAGGCACAGCCCCGCTGCTCGGACAGCAAGACACACGCAGGAGGCTCTGGCCCCGGCAGGCGCCCACGGCCCCCTTCTCCACCTGCTGTGTACCGGGCTGCACTCCAGCAGACCAGAGCAGAGCCCAGGTGCAGGTGGAGACCCAGCATCTTCTGTGGCCATGAGGGGCCAACACAGCACCCTCCTGGGGAGGCTGAAATGAGAGGCATCTCCCAGCCCGTCTCTGGCAGTGAAAGGAAGCCAGCTCAGCAGTCAGGGCCTAGTAACCAGAAGTGTCCAGGCTGCTGAGGGCAGCGTGGGTCTAGTCCACACACTGTCCCGAGAGGGAGGCTGAACCTGGTGATGGAGTCCAGGTGGGCAGCTGCAGGGCAGACAGTCAACAAGAAGGCTGAGAGCTGAGGGGTCCAAGGAGAGTCCTGAGGCCCAGATGTAGCCCTCCCTTGATGTCCAAACGGGACAGCCCCCTGGCTGCACGGCACCGGCCCTGCTCACATCCCTCTGCTGGGGTCAGGACTGCCCCCAGTTCGCTATGGGGTGTAAGGCACTCAAGGCCTGAGGGCCAGAGCCACGGTGCCAGGGAGCATGACCGCACAGCGCCGGGATGCGGGGGCGTCGGGCCATACAGCCCCTCGCGCTCTCCACAGCACGTCCGGCACCCTGACCCCCAGCTCTCTTCCAGGCTCCATGCTCATCGTCACCGGCCTGGCCTACTTCCTGCTGAGCAAGCGGAAGAAGAGGAAAGCTGCCCCCGAGGTGCCGGCCCCCCCAGAGCAGTACACAGACCCCTCCGGCAGCGCCGTGAGCACCACCGGCTCTGGGGACACGGAGCAAACCTACACCTTCCATGGCGCCCTCAAGGAGGGGCCCGGCTCCTTCTTCATCCACATGAAGAGCATCCTGAAGGGGGCCAAGAAGCCCACCGCCCTCCCGCCCCCAGACGCCCTGACGGAGCTGAGTCTGGAGCCAGCCGACTCGCTGGCCGAGAAGAAGCAGGTGCACTTTGAAGACAATGTGGTGCGAATCATCCCGTCCCTCGCAGACAGCCTGGACGAGGGGGACAGCGAGGCAGAGGAGACCACCTCCGACACCGCCCCCATCGTCCCTCCCGCCCAGGCCCCACTCCTCCTGTCTTCTCTTACGGCCACTGGCCTGTTCTGAGCTGCGGGCTCCTGCGGGGGTGCTTACTGAGGGCTCTGCAGAGACGGATCATCCTGCCTGGAGTTTCCTGATGTCCTCGGGCCCCCCAGGAGCTCAGGAGCTTTGCAGGTCAGGTCCTTACAGGGTGACCAGATGTCCCGAGGTGGCTGGGCCATCGGGAGGTGTGACAGGCCAGCAGCTGGCAGAGGCTGCAAGGGAGGCACAAACAGTGCCACCAGCTCCGCCTGCACAGGCTCCTCCCTCCTGGCCACGGGTGGGGAAATCCTTGTCCTTTCCCAAGAAAGACCATCACTCCCACTTCACACAGGCTGCAGGTGCCACTGCTTCAGCCCCCAGAGGGAGAAACGCCTTGCTCCGGACATAGGGCCCGGCACTCAGTGAGGCCCTGGGGTGCACCCGTCTCTGACGCAACAGCCCAGCTCCAAAGGCCAGGGATGTGTGGGCAGCTGAAGCCTCTCCAAGGCTGGACTTAGACCCATGGAGGCTGCTCGGGGTAGTGAGGGAGGGGGCAGCTGGGCAGCAGGCCCCGCATTCTCTGCATGCTCTGGGGCCGGAGCTGGCCGGCATGAGTTACAGAGCCGCTCAGAGAAACAATGCCGCTCTGTGCTCACTGCGGGAAAGCGCGGCTGGGGGCTCCTGCACCCGCCACAGGGGCCTTTCCCAGATGCCAAGCAGATGATGCAAACTGGGATGCTGAATGCTGTGAGGACCTTCAGCCCTGAATGCCAGGGCACCGAAGGCAGCGCGTGCCCGCTGTGTGCAGGGCCCGAGGCAGCAGCCTGGAGGGGCTCACACCACAGAAGTGGCCCTGCACGCCTGGGCACCTGGTAATGGAATAGGTGGTCAATGTGATATAAGTTTGTTCAAAATGGGAGGGAGGGCAGAGGCAGGAAGAAGGGCAGGTAGGAGGAAAGTGGGCAGGAAGGCAGGTTCTCCGCCATGGGGCTACAGAGTGACAGTTAACCCAGAAAGAACAAAGGCATTTGAATCAGATATGCTTTGTGAGAGGATCTGCAATATAGTTTTTACTTCTAAAAAGTGCCCTTTGGTCTGCAAGACTGTTGCCGGGAGAGCAGACACTCCCTCCTAGGCCAGCGCAGCACTGGGCCACCAGAAGGACGGTCCTGCGGCTCGCGGGCAGAGTGAGGAGCTGACACCAGCGCCCTCTGGAAGAGCTTGGACCACACCCTCCAGGTTAGATGCGATGAGACACTCGCGTCTGTTCTTGGACACTTTTCAGCATCCCTTACAAGTTATTTTGTGAAGGTTACAGAAATAACAGCCAACCAGAAGTTGTATCAGTCTGGTGTCTACATTCAGCAGGTGTTCTCGACAATCAGGGCTCTTCACGCAGGAACCCAGATCTCCTCTCAGATCAAATGACAAATGGCCAAGAAACACACTCCCACCAGCCAGCAATGGCGAGAGCTATAGAGCTGTGCTGTAGCCACCACTGAGGCGGGACCTCAGGATATGGCACTCAAGATCAGAGAAGCTGAACAACACAGGTGTAGGGGGGTGGGCGTCGTGGCCCATTCCTGACGGGCTGGGAGCCTCGGTGCGGAGGAGCCGGGAGAAGGGGAATGCGACAGCCGCAGATGCCCACGCTGCATGAATGGGGCGGCCTCGAGGGAGCGAGATGTTGCTGAGCTTCAGAGCAGCTCTGTGCTCGGGGCCTAAGCCAGCAGCACCGGACGGCCAGGTCACGAGAAGCAAACCTGAAAGTGTGGTGTCAGAGCTGTCAGTCCTGTTTAATAACCATCTGTGAACCCAAGTGCCAGAGTGTCGTTTGTAGAAGGATGCGTCTTGGAAGTGAGGGTGCACTGGGAGCTCCAGGTGACGATGCACAGGTGATTCTGACACATCTGGGTCTCCTGGTGATGTCATCAGTAAAGGAGAGTCTGCTGGTGCGTGGCATGAGGGCATGATGTTGGCCTTAGCTAGGTTGGCAAAGTAAAGCTCTCAAACACTCCTCCTGCTATCAAAAATAAAAACGCTGGAATGAAATTATTAAATAGACCCGAACCCTCTCCTTAAGTGGGCCAGCAAGAAAGTGGCACCTCCTTATAAGCAAATGAGCACCAGGTGTCTGCAACCACACCCTTATCCACTGGCATCCCAGCACAGCAAATTCCTTGCTGAAAAACGAAGACCACAAGGGCTGCCCTGTCTCGACCCACCTCCCTGTCAGCAGAAAGCAGAGCGGACCGTTGCAGACGCGGAAGGGAGCGGCTGGACTGGAGGCAGGAAGAGCGCCAGGCTGGGGCCATTCAGTCCACCAGCAGCAGCTGATCGCCCTTGGCCACGCCCCTTCACGCCTCTGGTTCAGGTGCCCGTCAGGTGGGAATTACAGCAGTGGCTCAACAGGACATGGGGAGGTGGTTTTCAGACGACAAATCACAAGTGGTTGCGTGTGCACCTCATCCCTACTACCACGGGGGCCCTGCCATGAGGAGACGCCCCTGAGTCGTATTGGCAAGGCCAGCGGGGGTCCAAGAGCTCCTTTCTCCACTCCAGATTCCAGGGTTTGGTCCGGGGGAACCCAGCCCCCAAAACAAAGAGCCATAGTGGACCCCACTGAGAAACCACACCCTGGAGGTCACACGCTGTGTCCTTGCTCTCTCCCATCCCCTTAGTTGGTTTTCTTCTTTTAGTTTTCTTAAATACCTTTACTGAGATATAATTCACATACCATAAAATTCATCAATTCAAAGAGTACAGCTAAATGGTTTTTAGTGTATTCATAATCTAAGTTCACCACAACCTAAGTTCAAATTTTCATCACCTCAAAAAAGAAACCCAACCAAGTACCCACGAGTACTCCCCACCTCCCATCCCCTTCCCTAAACAACCACTAATCTACCTTCTGTCTTTACAAATGCTCCTGTTCTGGGTGTTTCATACAAATGGAATCATATAATATGTGGTCTGTTGTGACTTTGTTCACTTAGCATGATATTTCTGAGGTTCATCCATGTTGTAGCATGCATCTTTATTTCTTTTCCTTCCTGGCTGCATAATATTCCATTGTATGGCAAAACCACATTGTGTTTATCCATTCATCCATTGTTAGACTTCAGAGGTGCTTCCACTTTTTGCCTGTAATGAATAATGCTGCTATGAACATTTGTGTACACGTTTTTGAATAGACATAGGCCCTCGTTTCGCTAGGGTGATAACTAGGGGTGGAGTTGCTGGGTCTTATGGTAACTTTGTGTTCAACTCTTGACAAAAGGGCTGTACCTTTTTATATTCCCATCAGCACTTTCTGCACCTCCTTGCCAACACTTGCAGTTGACAATCTTTTTATTTATCCATTGTGGTCTTCTTTTGCATTTTTCAAATGCCTGGTGTTAAGCATCTTGTTATGTAATTATTGGCCTTTGATTATCTTCTTTGAGAAGCATCTATTCAAAATGCTTTGCCTGTTTTTTAATTGTGCTATTTGCCTTTTTATTTTGAGTTGTAAGAGTTGTTAATATATTCTGGGTACAAGGCCCTTATCAGATATACACTTTGCAAATATTTTCTCCCATTTTGTGGGTTCCCTTTTCATTCTCTTGACAGTGTCCTTTAAAGCACAAAGATTTAATTTTGGTGAAGTCTAATTTATCTTCTTTTTCTTTTGTTGCTTGTTTTTTTTTGTTGCTGTTGTCAAATCTAAGAAATCATTGCCTAGCCAAAGGTCATGAAGATTCATTATTATGTGTTTTTAAGATTTTTATAATTTTAGCTCTTATATTTAGATCTATGATCAATTTTGAGGTAATTTTTGTGTGTAGTATAAGGTGGAATCTAACTTAATTATTTTACATGTAGATATCCAGTTGTTACAGCATTTGTTCAACAAATGGACATTATGTGGTACAATTTGATGTTTCAATACATTCCATTTGTTGAATCAAATTGTCTTGATATCTTTATCAAAAATTAACAAACCATAAACAAGTTTATTTCTGAACTTGCAACTCTATTCCATTGATCTGTTTATCTATTCCAGGCGTCCTCAAACTACAGCCCGCAGGCCACATGTGGGTGTTTTTGCCCGTTTGGTTTTTTATTTCAAAATAAGATATGTGCAGTGTGCATAGGAATTTGTTCATAATTTTTTTTAACTATAGTCCAGCCCTCCACCTGTCTGAGGGACGGTGAACTGGCCCCTGTTTAAAAAGTTTGAGGACCCCTGAATCCTCATCCCCACTGCCACACTGTTTTGAATACTACAGCTTTGTAGTAAGCTTTGAAACCAGGAAGTCTGAGCCCTCCCAAATTTGTTTTGGCTATTCAGGGTCCCTAGCACTTCCATGTGATTTTTAGGATCAGTTTTTCAATTTCTGAAAAAAAGCAAGCTGAGATAGTCGCAGGGATTTATTTGCTTTGACTCAGTAGATAAATTGGAGGAGTATTTCATCTTAACAATACTGTTTCTAATCCAGGAATTTGGGGTGTCTTTCCACTAATTTAGATCTTCTTGAATTTCTTTCAACAATGTTGTAATTTCCAATGTGCAAGTCTCAAACTTTTTTTATTGAAATTATTCTTAAGTATTTTATTCATTTTCATGCCTTTATAAATGGAATTGTTTTCATAATTTTATTTTCAAATGCCAGTATGCAGAAATATGATTACTTTGTGTGGATCATGTATGTTGCAAACTTGCTGAACAAATTTATTAGTTATAACAGTTTTTTAATAGATACTTTATCATGATCTACATACAATATCATGTCATCTGCAAATATAAAGAGTTTTACTTCTTTCTCTCCAACCAGAAACTTATTATTTCTTTTTCTTGTTTAATATAGTTGGCTAATGCCTCTAGTACAATGTTAAATAGAAGTTACAAGAGCAGACATCCTTGTCTTGTTCCTGATTGTAGGGGAAAGCATTTAGTCTTTCACCACTGAGTACTACGTTAGTGACGGAATTTTATCCAGCTGAGAAAGTTTCCTTCTATTTCTAGTTTATTGAACGTTTTTATTATGAAACAGTAATGGATTTTGTTAAATACTTTTTCTGCAGCTATTGAGATGACCATGTGCTGTTTGGTCTTTATTCTATTCATAAGGTTTATTATATTAATTGATTTTAGATATTTAACAACTAGTATTCATGGAATAAATTCTACTTGTTCATGGTATATAATCCTTTCATATGTTGCTGGATTATGTTGAGAATTTTTGTGTCTCTATCTATAAGAGTTTGGTCTATAATTTTTTTACTTTTTGATGTCTTTGTCTTATTTTGGCATCAGGGCAATACTGACCTCATAGAATGATTCAGAAAGTGTTCCCTCCTCTTCTATTTTTTGAGAGTTTGTAAAGGACTGATATCAATTCTTCACATTTTGGTAGAATTCACCAGTGAGGCCATTTGGGCCTGGGCCTAATTCAAACTCATTATATATAAATCTTCAGATTTTTGAAAAAAATTTCTCCTTTGAATCAATTTCTGTAGTTTGTGTCTTTGTAGGGATGTGTCCATTTCATCTAAGCTATCTAATTTGTTGGCATAATATTCCCTTATATTTCCATAAGATCAGTAGTGACGCCCCCTCTTTTTATTCCCAATGTTAGTAACTTGAGTCTTCTCTCATTTTTTCTTAGTCAATCTAGCTAAAGTTTTGTCAATTTTGTTGATCTTTTTAAAGAACAAACTTTTGGTTTTACTGATTTTCTTTATCATTATTATAGTCTCTATTTTATTTATTTCTGTTCTCATCTTTGTTCTTTCCTTCCTTCTACTTACTTTGCATTTAGTTTACTCTTCTTTTTCCAGGAAAAAGGGGGAAGTTTAGGTTATTGATATGACATGTCTTCTATGTCTATACATATTTATAGTTAACAATTTCTCTCTGAGCAAACTCTAACTTCACCCCATATGTTATGGTCTATTTGCATGTTTGTTTTCATTCATCTCAAAATATTTCTAATTTCCCTGGTGATTATTTTCTTTAACCTATTGGTTATTTAGGAGGGTGTTGTTTAATTTACACATATTCTAATCAATTTCATTGTGGATGGAGAATATATTTGGTATAATTCTAGTCCTTTTAAATGTATTAAGTTTCTTTTATGTCCTACCTTATTGTGTGTCTTGGAGAATGTTCCATATGCTCTCAAGTCGAACATGTGCTCTCCAGTTGTTGACGGAGTGCCCTGTGGAGTTCTGTGAAGTCTAAGTAGTTTGTAGTGTTGGCCAGGTCTCCCAGGGCCTCGCTGATCACCTGCCCAGTTGCTCTGCCCGTTATCCAAAGTGAGTATTGAAGTATCTGACTATTACTGTTAACTGGTCTGATCCTCCCTTCAGTTCTCTCAGCTTTGCTTTACGTGTTTGGTACTCTAATGTGATATGCCTGTAAGTTTATAATTTTACATCATTTTGATGCACTGACGTTTTGTCATTATGAAGTGTCCCTCTTTATCTTTGCTAACATTTTTTGTTTTAAAGTTGATTTTTGTCTGATATTGTTGTAGCCACTCCAGCTCTCTTATGATTGCTATTTGCATAGTACTTTTTAAATTTATTTTTAATTGACCCATTGTAATTGTACATATTAATGGAGTACAATTTGATGTTTCAATATATATCTTTGTTGTATAATGATCCAACCAGGGCAGTTAGTGTATCCATCACCCCATGCATTTATCATTCCTTTGTGGTGAAAACATTCAAAAGCCTCTCTTCTAATAATTTCATAATATATAGTACCTTACTGTTAACCATAATTGCTTACTGTGCATTATACACTAAAATATTTATTCTGCTCCTTTTCTCTCTCCTCTCTTCTGATACACTCATTATGCAAATGCTGGTGTGCTTAACAGTGTCCCACATTACTATGAAGCTGTGTTCACTTTTCTTCATTCTTTTTTCTCTGTGTTCTTCAGATTGCCATCAATTTATCTTCAAGTTTGCCGATTCTTTCCTCTGCTAGCTCAAACCCACTGTTAAGTCTATCTAGTGAATTCTTAATTTCACTTACTGTACTTTTCAAATCTAGAATTTTCATTTGGTCCTTTTAAAAATAATTCCTACCTCTTTACCGATATTCTCTATGTGACAAAACATCACCATACTTTTCTTTAATTCATTAAACGTGGTTTCCTTTAGTTATTTGAACATAGTTGTAATAGCTGTTTTGCAGTCTCTGTCAGCTATATTCAACCTCTGGGCCACCTCAAAAGCTGTGTCCATTGCCTGCTTTTTTCCCCTGCATATCACACTTTCTTGTTTCTTTTAACGTCTCAAAAAGTTGTGTTAACAGCTAGACATTTTAAATAATATCTGGTAGCATCTCTGGATACAGGATACAGGTTCTCCCTCCTTTTCTGATACTTGTTCTCTTTCCTTTTCTGCCTGATGTCTTGTAATTGTTTGTTTATTCATTTGACTTGGCTGGACTAATTCTGTGAAGTCAATCAATTTTTTCCCATTGTTCAGCCTCTAATGTCGCTGCTTAGATTTTTTTCCTTGCTTTTAATCTTTTAGCTTCATTACCTAGGAGTTTCCTCTGGGTCAGCAAAAGCCATTTATTGATCAAAAGTTGTGATTAAGCCAGGTGCGGTGGCTCACACCTGTAATCCTAGCACTCTGGGAGGCCAAGGCAGGCAGATCGCTCAAGGTCAGGAGTTCGAAACCAACCTGAACAAGAGCGAGACCCCATCTCTACTAAAAATAGAAAGAAATTAATTGGCCAACTAAAAATATATAGAAAAAATTAGCCGGACATGGTGGCACATGCCTATAGTCCCAGCTACTCAGGAGGCTGAGGCAGAAGGATTGTTTGAACCCAGGAGTTTGAGGTTGCTGTGAGCTAGGTTGACGTCATGGCACTCTAGCCCGGGCAACAGAGTGAGACTCTGTCTCAAAAAAAAAAAAAAAAAAGGAAAGTTGTGATCAAGCCCCCTTGACAAATTAGATACTTACCCTTTACCACTGCCAGTTGCAGGGGAGGCAGGGGCAGTTGGAGGCTTCTATCACAGTGCAAGGAGTTTACACTTGTCCCCATGTTCAGCGAGGGACCAATAGCTTGGGTGCCCCTTCTCTGATCACTCCTGAAAGGGCACAACCTTGAGCACACAAAACTGGGTGACAGGTTGCCAGGTATGTATGTGATTTTCTTTTTATGCCTGGCTTTCTAGGAGTTTCTCCTGACCCAGTGTTTGGTCAGAGGATGTGCTCAAGCCCCGAGTGCCAGTGAGGCATCCACTTCTTGTTGATGGCTCTGTGTGCAGATTGGGGAAAGTGTTCAAGTGTCTGCCACATCCTTCTCTGATCGCTCCTGAGGAGTGCAGCCTAGTACTTGCACATGAGCTTCCCGCCCCCAGACTGGACTGTGAACCCCAAAGGACTTTTCTTGGCTATCCCTTTCCCAGCTCTGTTAAACTTCTGCTTGTCCTACCCTTTTGCTTATTGCTACCAGTGCCATGGAGTCATGAGCACACTTTTAATTGCTCTTCACCAAGATCTTGGTTGTTCTCAATAACTCCCT